CTATAGAAACATTTATTATTATCCATAGAAACATTTACTCTGCTGTTATAATATTGATATATTAATTCTCTCTAAAAATATTTTTAACTGTACTAATAAAAACATTTCGACAGTCTTTTTAGATAATTCCAATTCCAAATAAGTAATTATCTTATCAGCAATCAGTAATAATGAGTTTCTTAAATAAATGCTAACACTTTGTAAGAGAGGGAAACTACAATATACTATATAATATGAAAATTTTCAAATTCAAAATTCAAAACAAACATTCATAAACTCACCTTTCAGTTGTGGGATCTGCGCAATTAAGTGGAAACTTCAGTTCTATAATCTCTCCATTCTTCTCCTTCAATTGTCCCTGTTTCTCCATGTAATACTGGACCAGCTCCGATAGAGTCGCGAATTTTTCGCCGCCGTACAAATCGTAGAAGTCACCCGAATTTTGAATCTTAATGTGGGTGACTTCTCCATTGCGTCTGTAACAAAAAAAATGTACTAAATAGATTGGATCCAGATTTCAAGGTGGCTGAAGAAGAAAATAATAAAAAGATCATGTGATTTAACATTGTTGGCCTATTTACAACCATATGTCACAGACAATTGAGTATTTTCATTACAACATTATATACCTCAAAAAAACATCTGTTCAACACATTTATCATAAGTTGAAGATTTTTAACTGAACAATTACAAATTCTACTAAATAATTCCCAATTTTTATTGAAAATTTAAGGCAAATTTTTTATTTTTACAGATTTGTCGCTAAATGTATTTCCAAATTAACTAGGACTATTAAAGGACAAAAATTCATTTTTATGGATAACCTACACATATTAAGAGACCTTGTCATCATTTTTTATCAACCATATTACAAAGGTGGCGATAGCACTCTTCTACAATCATAGTAGAGACAAGGCTGCTAAGAGATTAGTGACCCTGCCTTATGCTAGCTTCTGGTTCTCCTCCTTCCTAGCCTGAGGGGGCCAAGGTCCTCATACATTTTTTCCTTCTACTTCCTTTTAAAACTCCCACTTCATCTACCCTCTACCAACTCTGCACTGGCCAGCGCGGTAGAGTATGGCTCAAATCCAAGCATGCTTGACAAGACAAAAAACCGGCCCTCAGTCCACGGCTAGTGAGCTGATCCTTGGTCAACTTCGAATCGGTAGCGATTCAAGAAAGACAGCAAACAGAGGGTGTGTGAAGAATCCTGGGTCAGATTTCAGGCTACCACAGAAGACGGACAAATGTATATTCCAACTACTAATGTAAGAACACTGTCATCTGAAGAAAAATTACTGGAATTGAAGAGTGAAAACACATAAAATGGGACGTTATGGGCTCTGTGAAGTAAGTCACGAATGAAGAAGATGGTATAAACTCTTTAAATCAGGGCATCAACTTTTCTATATGGGAAACAAAGAAAATATAGGAGAGTTGGACTTCTTGATACATAAGACACCTAAAAAATATCCAACAACTTAATGGTATCAACCAAGAATATTACTCTGCATACTGAAGCTTAACAAAAAAAACAGCCTTAAAATAATTCAAGCCTATGCACACTACATCTACACCTCAGACGAGGAAGTGGAACCTTTTATGAATACCTAGAAAATGTAAGTAAAACTGGCGCTACCTACACACAACCCTAGTAATGGGTGACTTTATTGCTGAGTTGGGTTGTAAACTGGACAGGACCGAAGTTGCAATAGGTCCCTACGGATTCAGACAAAAAAATGAAAGAGTGAAATGTTTTTGGGTTTCTTGGTAATGAAATGGCCTCTTTGCAATGAATAGAGAACAGAAATAGAGGGTTGATCCCCAAAGAGATGGACAGATGACATAACAAGAGTAACTACAAATTGGATTCAGGTGGTGCAAAATCGGACTGGATGTGGAAAAGCATGTGAGAGGCCTGTGTTCAGCAGTGGATGTTAGAGGCTAGTTGATTATGATGATGGTGTAGTTCCAAATTAAGTAAGAAGCTTAAAAATTGCATATAAACATCTGAAAGGATGATTTTTATTTGAACAACTACAAATTTTGTAATTATTTGAGATTAGATTGCTAATAAATGTTCACTACACCCTGAAAAAGTTAACCAAAGCTGTATCTACCAGCAAATCATGTGAGACTTTAGAAAATATAAAGAGGGAAAAGAAATATTCAAGAACAACTAAATCCAACATTTTTAATAAATTCCACTAAATACCCTGTTTTGAAGTAATGTTGAATAAAGAATAGGTTTATATTTTAGATTGCTATCTCAGATTGTAGTGGAATTAACTATTAACCAAAAAATCCTGGATGCAATGTTAATTTCAGTAATAGAAGGGTTTTTTAGCAATACCAAAAAGTTTTGGTTAAATTCAAACTAAGAAAATGAATAATAGGACTGCTCCTATAACCTGCATATATTATGACATTGTGCAGAAAGATCATGAGCATCACATAAAATAAGAAAACTACACTATTTTTATTTCTAAGTCACTAAGACTTCCTTTGACTAAATATATATTTTTGTTTAAAGTTTGTCAATATAGAACTATTGTTAGTTAAATGTAGAATAACTTCTGTTTAAAATATATAACTAAACAAGTGCACTATAAATAAAGATAATTAAGTAATATTGTCCCTATATTAATTATCTGAATGTCTTTCAAGAAACTATTTGTTCTCTATAAAAAAAAAAACATCTAAAATACATTAACTAAACTTAAAACCCATGTCTGATGATCAGCTTTAAAACAAAAGCTGGTTTTTATTAGGATCAATTTAAATGCAAATATAAATCTAGGATAAGCTGTTGCTTAAATTGCACTTACCTGACAGATAATGTAAAATCTCCAGGGTTGGAGGAACTAGGTCGGGCTAGAAAACTGCAATCCACCCCTCTTTCCATCAACAATTTTTCTGCGTCTATGCCGCTGATCGTGGGCCAAAACCACCTATGTTAATAAAAAATGTACACTATTAAACATTTTTTGTTAAACATTTAGTTTTTTTACATTGAAATGTAAACATTTTTGTTTTTATGCAATTTGTATTTTTAGACATGAACATTGTAGCATACTTTACTGCAAATATATATTAATATTATAGTGAATATGGTTTAATATATAAATAAAATATATTTAAATAATTTTACCTTCTTGAACTCATATTTTTAACATCCAAACATAAAAAGTGTGTAAATCTACAGTAACAAAATAAATTAACATTGAAACCCAACTTTACAGTTGCACGCCATCTTGAATATACGAGGCGCAGCTGATTTCAAATGTGACAGATCTTTGACTTTGATTTTTTACAGAAAATTTTAAAACAAACAATAATTCTTAAGCAAATATTGTTAAAAACACAACTATCATCAACTGTAAATAATTATTTTTACATCTGTTAGCAGTTACATTATTTTTTTAGCATACATTTCAAATTGCGATATATTGAACTAGCCCTATAACTACCCCACCTTATTCATTGGGATTTTATTGGATCATTTTTTAATATCCAAGTGCAATATAATTGACCTGTACCTTTGGGTAAATCGTTTAAATAGGTATTTATTAAAAATAAAAATTACTAACAATATTTTATTTACAAATACATATAACTACAATAAATATATATTAAGCAGTCAATATAGGAGCTTTGTCTGGCGAGGCACCTTCTGATAGTAAATTTTCCTTGTCCAACAATTCTTGTCGTTCTTTTTCTGGTTTTATTTGAATAAAACGATTATAATATCTAACAGCGAATAAAGACCAGCATAAATAGTAACTCCAATGCATGACAATACAAATCCTTTATGCAATGTGTCCAATAAAGCACTTCTCTTGGGTATTTTCTGCATTTTTTAGAAATCAAATTCGATTAAATTTTCAATATAAGTTTTAAATTTATAAATATTTTTGATAAAATGCCGCTAGAATTTATTTTTTATTTTATAAACATAACCTGTTTATAATGACATTGACAATTCAGCTGGCTGACACTTTGACACTTTGACTGAAGACAAACCTGAGACAAACCTAATATCACGCAAAGGTCAAACAGTTTTCTAAACATATATCCTCATTACTATTTCTACGGATTACCAGACAGTTTTTGTTAAATTTCCAATATATTTTCTCTATAATTTTTATTAAATATTTGAATTTTTCTTTCACCTATATTTTTCTATCCGTCAATTTAACGTTATTTTAATTTGAATGTTGACGTTGTAATATTGGTTGCCTAACTTTAAGATTATTTTTGGTGAATCAGCAGACTCTCCCATGTACTGTCATTTTTTGGTTTACATTTGAAATGAAAGATGTCACTGAAATCCGTCGGGTTGTAAAACTTCTAGGAATTCGTTTACGTGAACCCAACCCAAAAGTGCAGTTTTATAATAGTTTGTATCCATTTTTAGGTTGTTTTTTATACATTTTTAATAATTAAGGTTTGTAAAAATATTATTTTAGTCTAATATTATCGTTAGCCGAAGAAAGTATAGTGTGAAATTTTTATTAAACAGATTTATTCACGTGAAATGACGCTGGGAATGCACAAAAATGGCAGAATTCTAAAAAAATACTCTTTCGAATTCTAACCACGTCTTGACACATTTTTTTGGACACTTTTCTAATTTAAATACGGTTTTATTTGATTCCGGATGTCGCTTACTTTACAACAATCAGTGTTATTGTTATCAGTGTCTACTAAATCTGACAACTTACTAAACATCATTCATTTTTAGCTATAATGCAGACGATCAAGTGTGTGGTGGTTGGAGATGGAGCCGTTGGTAAAACTTGTTTATTAATTAGGTGAGTTAGTAATTTCCAATAACCGAAAATATTCCAAGGTACTAATTACTCAAAATATAAAATTTTCTCATAACCTGTGTGGTTACTCCTACTCATTCTCATAGTGGATCAAAATTCTCTTCATGTTAAGTGTATGACTTCTATGAAATTGTTGATATCAGTAATAACATAATTGTATTTGTTTAACTAGATCACAGAGGTGATTAACCTAATAAAAACAAACCTGTAGTAAGCAAATTTGTTGTGACACTTTTGCTGTTTTATGCACAATTCAGAACTTTACATAAAGAGAGACAAGTCTTTTGTAGTTGCCTTTTATGTTTAGTTAAAAGAAGAAGCAGCAAAGGGAGAATCAGGTCAAACTTTTTAAGTCAAAAATTATATGCCTTATTAAATTATCTCCCTGTTAAGTTCCTTAATAGATTTTATGTGTAAAGGCTATTAAAAATAGTTTCTATATGATAATGTCAAAATCAAATAAAGCAAGAAAATCATCTACTGATAATTAGATGTACTACAAAACACTATTATTTATGTGTGCAAGAAACATTGAAAGTGGAGCAATCTCAAAACAGATATAAATGAATGAATATCTAATATCAAAATGTTTTAATAATGTGCCCTTTTTTATTACCAGGGGTAATAAATGCCCCCTTTATACCCATATAATTTTATTGATCTAGAACTACCAAAATCTACTTTTTGGCCCATAATTGGGATTTTCTGTTCATAAGTACTTCTTTTTTGTATTATAGAATTAATGTCTTGCTTAGAACTAAATGCCAGAAACAGCCCAGACATAGATATACCTCTCATAGTTTACCTATTCCCCAGATTTCATTCTTAAATGATCTGTACTTTTAAAAGGTGTAAATAAGAAAGTAGGAGGTTACATGATCACATCATTAATGAGGAATTGACTGAAGCCTAAACACCAACCGGCACCAAAAAAGTTGCCAGGTCATATTTTATTTCTTCAGTAGATTGAGAATGGATGGAATGGAGATGGATATATATCAATAAATAGATTTTTTTTAATGTATAATTGAACACTGACATAATGATCACTTTTTGAACATGATTTTATCATTACATTTTTTTAGTAGATCTTATGGTGTATCAGTAAATTGAAGTTGAAATCAGTTGATCTACTGAAAAATCAGTAGACCTGGTAACCCTACGAGATGTAGTAATGGGCACAAACTCACAATACATGCTCACATCGAAACTGGCTTCACTTTTCGAATCTTTATTAAATGAATGTTACCTGTCCTCTCTCTTCCCTTGTCTAAGCATCAATCACTCTTATCTGTTTGAAAAACTTACACAAAACCAAACAAAATTTAAAAAATGAGTATAGAATATGTCCAAGTATTAAAAATTGATTTTAATAGGAGAAAATAAGAAATGACACTTGTGTGGTAGATAAATAAATAACATTTAATTTATGTTTTAGTTATACTACAAATAAATTTCCTTCCGAATATGTTCCAACAGTCTTCGACAACTATGCAGTGACTGTTATGATAGGTGGGGAGCCCTATACCTTAGGTTTATTTGATACTGCAGGTAAGGAAAATGAATTTGTTTTATCTCTTTATAAAAATAGGACATTGATAAATATGAAAAACAAAATAATAAATAATAATAGGTAATCTTTAATGTTTCTCTGGTATCTTTTTTAATACTAGGAAACAGTGGAAGGTTTCTTTTCTAAAGAACACTGTGGAGCATTATCCATCGCAATTATTTATGGCTGTTCTAAATTGGGAACTGATTTTTCACCTTTTAGTTAAAATTTAATTGTTCATTTTCACAATAATCAGCTACTTTAGATTTTGAGCAAAATAATAAAATTGCTCCAGTAACAGATCTTTTCAAAGAACCAGCATGGTTTCTGTTGGATCACTCATTTGCTCACAGAAGAGCAAGAAGTAGTTTGTATCAATTGGCATCGAAAAATATTGGAATGGTTCAACAAAGGACACTCAAAAAACGTTTATAGTATTGAATGATGAATCTTAGAATTTACTCCTACAAACTGGAACATAAATGACAATCTGATGTGTGGGTGTTTCACTATGAGGAACAAAATAATCCATTCTTGAAGTGTGTTGAAAGAAAATTTGTAGCAACTTTTGTGCCAAAATCTGGTCATTGTGCAACAATTGCTTTTGAAGATCGAAAACAGGTACTTCTGATTTGTATGAAACTGTTTATTTACTAGAATTATCCTAAAACACTGGCAAAGCAACACATAACAGCAAATCATTTTACATCAGGACAATGTACTGAAACAACTGTCTGAAATTTGCTTCAGCAACTATATTAAAGGTATATATGCTGCCTAAGAAATGATCCAAGATCATTTTGGAACTCCTTATTTTATCAAGTCCAATCTGCAACAAATGGTCAAGACATAGCTAATTTATTTATGAACTTCTTCCAAACTGTTTATTTCACCAAATAACAACAACCTTTACATACCTATCCATCCATTAAATAGCAACTTTAGTACAAAAATTTATCCTAAGATTACCATGACTTATATTTTTAATGGCATAAATGCTGCCAAATAAGCTTACTGCTGGTCCAGATGGAATACCTAATTTTATTATTAAAAAAGTATGACTGTACCCTTGTAATGCCATTTGTTAAATTGTTTAATAGATCTCAGGAAACCTCTATGTTTCCTTATTCATGGAAAGAAAATTATGTTGCTCCTATCTTTAACAATGATTAGAAAGACAATATTGAAAGTTATTGTAGCATATGTATACAATCTGCAATCCCTAAGCTCTTCTACTGTCTTATAGCAAGCAACTTTCTTGATTATGTAGATCACAACATGCTTTTCATAGCAAAAAATCACTGCAACAAACCTGGTTTGCTATCAGTCTGATATATTTACTCATATGGAAGACTGTTATCTCATATGAAGACTTTTTTTTTACCTTCCTGATAAAAAACACCCTCCATAGTGGTAAATTACCGGGCGGATTGCCTGATTGGCAACATCGGCACTGCATTTACCTGAACTTACATTCACACACAATTCTCACGCATTCTAGCACTTTCTCACTAAAACGGAATTTTCTCTCTCCTCTCTCTCTCTCTCTCTCTCTCTTCTCTATTCCTCACTATTCATGTTAAATATCACTACTTCTCATTCTGCCTTATCTCCTTGCTTGATCCTGGGCACCTTGCCTATCTTTGGGTCGCCTTTCTTCTTGTTCCTTTCTTTCCTATTTTTTCCTCACATATCTCTGAACTGCTCTCCATGGATCTGATGACCTAAGCATCTCCTCTACCAGTTCTGTGGACTGATTGCACCCTACTTCCTAGCTCTCTCTCAAGCAGGCTCCTCTCAACTATCCATCTATCACAAACCAATAGTGTGTGAGACAGTGTCTGATATTTTCACAATACAGGCATTTGTCATTTTCTGCCTTTCCAAATCTGTAAAGGTATGCCCTGGAGCAACCATGTCCTGTGAGCATCTGTGTCAGGAAATAATCCAAATGCCGGTGCTTGCAATCCATCCATCTTCTCCAGATTAGGAATCAACAACTTCATCCACTGTGCCACTTGTTGAATGGATTAAAAGCTCCACATCTGGAGAAGTCAAAGAGTCAAAATATGTTGTCATCTGTCTGACAGTATCTCAGTAACATCTGGAGTTCCTCAAGGAGGACACACCTCTCCACTTTGTTATTATATATATTATATATTTATATATATATATTTATATTATATATATATACTTATATATATATATATATATATCTCCAATATCTCCATTATCTTTGTTAACAACATCACTTACTGTTTTCTAAATAACAAATGTCTAATGCTGGCAGATGACTTGAAATTTTGAAAAGTTATAGATAGCTTAAAAGATCAACCCATGCTACAAGATATCTTAGACCAAGTACAAAATTGGGGCAATCATAACAAACTCAACTTAAATGTAAAGAAATGTTGCTTTATAAGTTTTATTCTTAAAGTCAATAGAATTGGAACATAGCTATACTATTAATAATCAGCCACTGAATTATGTTTCATCTATTCAAAATTTGGGTGTTATTTTTGATGAGAAGCTTACTTTCTGTGAGCACATAAACTCTACTTTCAATAAAGGCATCTAAACTTCTTGGTTTCGTTATTAGAAATTGCAAGTATTGATTGATTCAACAAGATATATTGTTGTATGTATTGTTGTAATTGTTGCTTAATTAGAACTGTTTTGGAATACTGTTCATTTACTTGGTCACCCTATTTGCAGAACAATATTGATACCATAGAAAGAATCCAGCATAAATTTTTGAGATATTGTGCTTTCCATGTCCAGACTACTATTGAAAATCATGATTATTCCTGTATCGAACAAAAATTATCTTTACCTTCACTCAAGAACCGTCGTGATATGTCAGGAGCTATATTTATATTAATTCATACATGGATTTATTGATTGTGCAAACTTGTTAGTCAGATTAACTTTAATGTTTCCCATGAAGCTCTTCGTTATTCCAGTGTTTCAATATTTCTTTCCACAGAAGTACCTATGCTATTCACAACCCATTGGATAAATACATGGGGCTATGAAATGTTCTCGATGTTGATATTTTCAATATAACTTTAACTCAGTTAAAAGATCTCTTGCTTTGTGATATGTGTATTGGGATTGTTATATTTTGTTGTTTTTTTTTTAGTGTGTAAAATTTTTAGTCTCATTTTTTTAAACTTAATATTGACAAAAAGAGATTATTTATATAGATTTTAAACTTTAATATCAATATGATTTCTACCTTCTTTTTTATGTTTTTTAATATTGATTTTATATTAAAAGTAATTTCAAGTTTTGAATCCTCTGATATTGTATATTGAAATTTAAATTGTTAATGGGGGTTATCCCGTGTATTAAATAAATAAAAAAAATGCAAGTGCTCACACTGCTCAAAGACAATAGAGTTTTTGGAGCTTCAAAACATAAAATTGTTACTCCTACATTCAATATGTTTCTGCATTACACTAGCAGGAACGTAGTTACTAAATTATAAGCATTTTCCTTTGGAAGAAAAAAATGCATGGGACACTCAAAAAAGATTATATTTAACACTTGTGCCACCATTAACAGATTTACGTAAACACTGGCTTGGATATACATACATGCCAACAACTGGCACTACATTGTACATCTATTTTACTTCTACATCAAACATTTTTTTAAACAAAATTTTAATTCTAGGTCAAGAAGATTACGACAGACTTCGCCCCTTAAGCTACCCCCAAACAGATGTCTTCTTAGTATGTTTTTCAGTTGTTAGTCCGTCCTCTTTTGAGAATGTCAAAGAAAAGGTAACAGACATGGTTTTCTTATTGATATTTTTACAAATATTTATTATTTTACTGTTGAATGATTTTATGTTTATGTCTTAGCGCTTGATCTTTATTAAGTTTGTGAAAGTTTATGAATAGAAAAGGCAATAATTAATACTGCTGATTTTTTTTAGATCTTAAAAGTGTTTTAAAGTATTTTTAAGTGTTAAATAAAAATTATCATGCCTTACTATCAATGTAAATTTAAAACTAGAGAAGTTGTTATGTCTACAAAACAGTGATGTAGATTGTGAAATCATTTTAAAAGATTGTCTAATAAATTTCTTATTCTACAGTATGTAGCAGTTAAGAAAACTTTTAAGAATAAATAAAAAATGTTGCAAACAATACTAATATCTGTTTTATACCAGATGTTAAGCTTACAAGGATTGTAAGTTTTATGTTTGTTTACCTAATTATAGATAAAAGCAGATAAGAAGGGATTATAAAAGACTAAAAATTATTATTGTATATAAACTGTCACTTAGTGGTTTAATAAAATAACTAATTAGTGGAACTGATAGTATGTTTGTAAATAATATAATAGGAATTTTATATTTATTATCATAAAGTATTTCCCAGTTTGTTTTTTTTTTTCTGTTTTTAGAAATGTAAATTATACAAATCGTTAGAAAAAGATTGATCACAAGTTATACTTTTTAATCTAATAAGTCAATATTAAAGTGATATTTTAATGCAATCAAGCAGTCTGAGAGAATTACACACCCCTTAAGTATGAAATTAGGGTGATACAATTCATTGGTGTGAGGAGGGTTAAATTGTGTAAACAAGAATCATTCCACCAGGCCATTCACGTCCCCCTCCCTATAAGCTCTCTTATCAGCAAAGTGCTTGTCATGTGGGAGTCCTGGGTACAAGGCCCCCACAAGAAATTCTACCCCAAACAATAATGTTACAATAAAAGTTTGTGTATCATTTATTTTAATAATGTGATGTGCATTGTTCATATAGTTGACTGAGTTGAAAAACCTACAATTTTTTTAAACAATTTTTATTATGTTTTAGTGGGTACCTGAAATTACACACCATTGTCAAAAAAACACCTTTTTTATTAGTCGGTACACAAGTTGATCTTCGTGATGATGGAGCTACCATAGAAAAACTAGCGAAAAACAAACAGAAGCCCATATCAATTGAACAAGGTAGGTACTTTTTTGCTCTTATTAATTATTCACATTATTCTGTATTTATACAGGGTAAGTTTTTAGAGCAGACACTTTTAAAGTTACCCATTATGACTTGAAAAGGGCTATTGGTGAGCATGCATATAAATGAGTTTTAGTTACCTTTTGACACGCGATGGCACGGATTAGTCCTTGTCTCCGGACAATATTGTATGCAGCTGATAGGTCAATAAAAGCAACAGATGTTTTTTTGCTTTCTTTGAAAACATGCTTCAATATGTATCGTTACGGGATAGGATCTGATCTGTGCAACTGCAGTTAGGTCTAAACCCTGCTTGCTCAATAGGTATCAGGTCAAATATGTTTCTACTAATTCTGTTTTAGATTAAGTGTTCCAACAGTTTATAGACACAGTTCAGCAATCAGTTGGTAGTTTTGGGGCTGATTTTGCCTTTCCTGGTTTGAATGTGGCATAATGGATGCCCTTTTTAAGTAAATGGGGATTTCTCCTTGAGTTTAACATACATAATAGAAATCCAACTTTGAAAATAAAGCTAGTATCGATGCACAGTATAGTGTAATTAAATCATACGCCAAGTAACTTTCGCATTAAAATAGCTTCTTCAGGGGCATTTCGTCAAAATAAGAACTATCCGGCCAAGCGTAAGGATGTGGAAACATTAAAACTAACTTAAATTATACAAAGCCACGACCACTAAAACGAGACAAACAGTTTAAAAATTACTTTCTAACGCTACAATTGCTCTGTCATGTCTCTTCTTGGAGGGATAATCTTGATATCTTTGATCCCTCCAGAGACGGACAGAGTATGTACGTAGAAGTAATTTATAAACTGTTTTGTCCTCGTTTAGTGTAGTCTTTTTTGTATACATATGATGTTAGTTTTTAATGTTTTCCACACATCCTACGCTTGCCGGATAAGTTTCTTAGTTTGATGAATATGCCCCTGAAGATGCTATGTTTTAAGCGAAAGTACTTGGGCTAGATTTAATTAACTTGTGCGCGATAATACCTTAATTTTCAAAAGTTCATTTATTCCGAGCATTCAGACCTCATTTCATATATAGAAATCAGCCAGCCACTCTCCCTACGTCATATTTGCTACAGTGGAATAAAAAATTCTGGATTGGATTTTATATATCGAGCCTGGGTGCCTTTTGAGATTTTAATTGTCCTGATATTGCTGAAATAAATTTCTTCTGTAGTAAACTCCTCAAAGTATTCAGACGTAGGCGATCATGCAGACTTTAGTATTTTTAGTTCTTGTTTTACTTTGGTGGTATGGTCACGATCTCTAGGTGCTCTTGAAATTCCTGCAATGTGGGCGGCCACTCTGTTGGAATCTATTGGTACTTTGTCTCTAGTTGGTAGTCTAGTCTACTACCAAGTTTTCTAAAGACTATGCTTTTCTGTTTGATTTACTAAAGTCTAATTTTTCCACAGTTTCCGTCCATTTTTGTCGTCTGGCTGCATTCAAACTGTGCAGTAGTTCGTCCACAATTTCTCGGTTTTGGCTTTCGTTGTATTCTTGATACAATTTCTCATATTTTTTCATCTTATCCTGGGACATACTCTTTACGATATCCTCTGGGTATAGTATTCTTCGCTGTAGATATTGGTTTCGTTACTACTATTCATATTATTCATATATTTATATATAAATTGACACTTTTACTGGTCATTCCGTTAATTTTCTTAGGTTTTTGTTGTTTTATTTTTCTAATTAATTGCAAATCCTTAAAATCAAATTTCATTACTTCGCATTCTTTCAATATTTCATTATTTTTTTACTAATATTATGTAAATATGTTATTTATATGCATACGTATAATTTTAGGAGAAAAACTAGCCAAAGAACTGAAAGCAGTAAAGTACGTTGAGTGTTCCGCCTTAACCCAGAAGGGGCTGAAGAATGTCTTCGACGAAGCGATTCTCGCAGCTCTAGAACCACCAGAACCAGTCAAGCGCAAAAAGTGCGTCATCTTGTAAATCCAATTACACACCTTTAAACCCCATCAGTAGAAGTATCAAAAGTATTTCTAAGAAGGGACAAAAGGGCCCAAAACAAGGACAATTTTTTATCTATTTCCCGAAGTTGGCATCGATTTGAAAATTAATACTTTTGGTATATGCGGCTGTTGGCGGGGCTTTCTTGTATTATTTCTTCCAACATATTGGATTTTCTTCCTATTTGATGTGTTTGTGCACAATAATTAATTGAAAATGCCATTTTACAGGGTGTACCATAATTGGTTAGATACGTTAGTTAAATGATAATAGATGGCATCATTTTTTCCATTTATTCTTTGTTATATATAAAAAATGTACAATTTCTATTCAAATTGAATCTTTGATATCATTTTTGTTCACAAAGTAGTGGCGCCATCTAGCAGCTCTTTTGAAATTCATACCATTTTCGTATTATCTGTACATAGTATAGTAGTAACACAGATGGGGAGGCATTATTGTACACCCTGTATAATTGATTATGATTTGAATGCAAGAAACATACAATTTATTCCAGAGGAAGCTAACCACAGCGTCCAGGACATATCCAAAGTCCTATAATCTTTCAATTTGTCTGTGCTAACTTCTAACCTCTTTTTTACAAACTTATCAAACATTTGGGCTTTGTTAAAGCTTTTTAACTAATATAGATTGTCTAACAGGGCAGTAATCGTCTACTTTTGTGTTTCGGTATGCTCAAAATCCATCAGGACAGTTTGTATAGGAACTAAATTTTTTTAGAGAGACTGAGGGAGACGTTGACAGGGGTTTTATACCTGCCGAGAGATGATAATACAATAATACATTTTATATATTTATTATTAATAATATAGTAATAATGTTGCGCATGCGTTGGCTACTAAGCATTGTTGATTTTGTTTGAGAAATAAAAATGAATTTTAGGTTATTAGTGTGATATGGAGGAAGAATATAAATGGTTCAACACTGTTTTATACAACCTGTATTTTTAACTAACAGGGAAATAGTAACTAAAACTTTTTACATTGGTAATTGACAGATGTGTTCTTTAACTTTTTTTTTTCTCTATGCCTATTATAATATTTTACAGTTTTATTTTAAAGGCCTCACAGAAGAAAAAGAACACACTGTGTGTATGCAGCATGTGTGACAGATAAAAAAATGTTTTTTGTTTTGCTTTTTAACATTTTTCTTTTTATGTAAGGGAGAGGCTGGTACACCTTTCGAGTAAATTTCAATATAACTTTAATATAATTCGTAATATATTAATGAGTATCAACTCAAACAAGGTCATAGCACTTTAACGCAAAGCAGGATTAACTAATTTTGGTTTTTGAAAAAAATGTGGCCACTGTACCAAACTAGATGGTACAGTGGCCACAAAGGTAAGGTACAGTGGTCATTACTTGCAATTCTTATATTTTTACTTATAACATTCATAAAAAAAAAAGGAATATTATTTAACACTTAGACTGCCGCCATAATGAAAAAAAGCGGGTCCTTCCAGCCGGACATATTTCTATCCCATATAAATAACATACTTACCTGCTACTTTTACACAACACACCTCTAAACAGGTTCGTATACAAAATGTTCTGGAAACGATGGTGCAGGGGTCAAACGTAGTAAGCGACTACTGTGACTAAAATTGTTAGCGTTTGTACTAGATGCGCATCTGTATCTATCAAACAACAGCAAAAATATTTCAAAGTGGTCACTGTTCCAGCCTCTCCCCTATTTCTTTGGCATTTTTCTTATTTTTTAAAACATTGCCTTACTTTTAATCTTCTTGTCTGTCTCTGCTAATTCTTCTTACAGTATCTTTTGATACTGTTTGTAAAAGTATGAGAAACGGTGTCAATAGAGCCCTTTCTCTGTTGCATTGTAACATTTTTTTGAGTCAGCTTTGGTAGTCTATTAATGTTAAGAAGAGATGCTTTTAGTGTTTCTCCTCAGTAAATATTCCAATTATATGTACCTGTCTTGGTATTGTCATAAATGTGTAGTTAGCGAACTAAATTGCAGTAAATTCAGCTTCGTCCCTGAGTATTTCGCCCCTGATAATGGAAAAAAATTATATTGAAGAGTTGTTTACAAATATCAAACAAGTCGTTGGTTTATTTTGAGCAAAATTGAATTACTGATTGTGTTATGTAGAAGTTATGTTTAAAGTCGATAACAGACTCTTATCATGTGTTACAAGGAATATCCATTTCGTCCAAAAGTGCCAATTCCCTAATAAACCGTATGTTTTGATTTTGATTATTAATTTAGAGATGTATACAAATCAACAATGCATTAGTGAATCCTTCACTCTCTCTTATTGTACATAATTTGAAACAATTCATTTTACATCCCATCATAGGTCGATGACATATGACACGTTCATGTCATATGTCATTAAATAGCAATTGCTCAATTCTATGCTTTCGAAATTATAAAATAAACTCTTTCTGCACAAGTGAATCAGAATTGAACAATTGTGTCAGCAGAAAAATATATATTTTCGGACAGTAATGGGAGTCGAATAACAGTGTCCTTAAATGGGATTTTGTTATGATTAAAATTACATGAGATTCTTATACTTATATCGAGATTAAAAGGCACTATGATGGGAAAAAACAGGTAAATCTGTAATTCAGTCGAAATCCCTAATATTTCGTACTGTTGCTCACCGAAAATAGTTGCAATATATGTATGAACCATGTTGTAGCTCTTTTAACAAGGTCTCATCGAAAAAACACCGTTTGACTCCCATTTCGTCCTGACAATTGTTTTAAATGTATTGAGGTTTAAGGATTTTTATTTATATACAGTTTCGTTTACTTCTGGTTAGGTTTGTTCATTAATTTAGGTTTTCACATTACGTAAAAATGGTGCTAACACACAAAAAGAGTTTCGAAAGAGGGACAGATATATTTAAAACAATTTACCAAGGTGCAGGGGATCTAAAAGGTTATCGCTCTTTGTAATCAAAGAAAGTTTAAGCTTAAAATAAGAATGGAAGGATTGCTTACGAAGAAACGTTTTTGTTTAGTGAACACTTCTGTATTTTTGTTTTAAAAAAATAAACACTCCTAATTAAGAGGATATTGGATTATGGTCATTTTTTGTCAGAAAATAAACCTATTAGATTGTTTTAACAATGCAATTTACTATTAATCAAAGTGTAATGAAAGCACAATTGGAAAGGTCATTGTCAATCTTAACCTGAAATTTATGCAACACAACATTCGCCAGAAAGGCGTATTGGATGTCACGAGCATTTTAACATTTCCTAAAGCATAGACGTCCATATTTTAAGTAGAAACTTCTTGGAACAGACAAATGACAAACTTTTGGGATTCCCTGGTGGCACCAACGTGAAATTACACAAAAAAATGTATCAACAGTTGAATAATTTTTTACGCTAGAGCATATGTATATAAACTCGAGAGAATGACGTGGGTGTGTGTGATAATTTTGTATTTGATTAACTGCATTTACGTTTGGAGTTTTGAAATGAGTATTGAAAACATATTTCCAGATTTAGTACTAATTGAGCATATTATTTAGTGTGTACAGAAGTTTGAATGTTGTGTAATCTAAGTATTCTAATATAAAGTTATTTAATACATGAAATAAACATTTATATGTAAACTAAATATTGTTTTATTTCTTTCCCAGTTCCCTGGTCTTCTAAATAAACTTCTGCGCTTGTACCTAGTCAATCATTTTTAACAATCATAAAAAAATATGTTTTGCCTATAAAACGTTTCTTATACATTCTAGAGAAGAATGGTTCAAATAAAAGTTCTAGATCTTAATACGTTCTTCATTTAGCGAGTTTATAATCTAAAATAATATATAAATTGACAGATAATTGCAAAAACCCTTATTTGAGGAGGTAATTTTCATAACCCCACATGTCCAATAATGTTTTTTTTAATAAGTGAATTCGTCACTTTAAAATGCATTGCATGTTTATTGCTGATCAAAATGCGCTGTAATGTTTACAGATTCACTCTCATGTAAATTTACAACACCGACCGTGCGGATAGAAGTATAACTTCAAAAAAGTAAAGAAATTTTGAGGAAAAACGGTAAAAAGTTAAGAGGATTACTAAAATGCCTACTAGTACTATAAAAAAATAAGCCTTTAGGTATGAAAAAACCACGGAAGTGAGTAAAAAGCGTGAAACAAATGCAAATTAGTACAGCAACATTGGAAAATAGTGTAAAAAGTGGACAAATAGTCAAAAATAAGGAAATTGTGTCAAAAAACTATGCAAAAATATAGATTAAAAGTATATACACTCTCATTCACACGGTTACGATGCAGTAAATTCAGTATGTCGATTTCAGTCTTTTTACAACGGATTAAATTTAATATTTCTAATGTTATTAACCTTAGAAAAAATTTCAGTGCTTCCAGCCTGGAGATAAAGCAGGTCATGAAGTTGGAAATTATTAATTTCTGAGAATCTAAATTTTGGTGAAGGTGTATCCAAATATTTGTTAAATTCCATTTAATTGCTTTCCAAATAAAGGATTTTTTAATTTAATGCACAATAGCGGCATATAGATTGTCAAAAGCAGAAATTTTCTACTTCGTGACCTGCTTTATCTCCAGGCTGGGACACTGAAATTTAATCTAAAGTAAATGTTATGGAAACATTGAATCGTATTAGGAAAAATCCTGAAATAGTTCGATTTTTATTTCAAGTGAGATTTATACCAGATTAAATTGTTCTGTGACTGTTAGTAAGATAAACCAATTAGAATTTAAAAATTGGGTTAGGCCTTCGCCAAAATTTAGACAACCAGAAATAAATCAACCTAATGGCCTACTTTATTTCCAGGCTGAAACACTGAAATTTTTCCCAAAGTGAATGTTGTCGAATTAAATTTAATCTGTTGTAGAAATATCGGCTTTCGATATACTGAATATATTGTACCATAACCGTGCAAATAAGAGTATGTACACCACTATTGTGCATAAAATAAATGAGAAATCGCTTTTTTGGAAACCGATCGCTTTATAAAAAAATTCTGCAACAGGATGATTTGTTTATAATACAGGTCGAGAGTTATATTTTACCAGGTTCATCTTCATGACCTGCTTTATCTCCAGGCTGGAACATTGAAATTATTTATTAAAATGAATGTTGTCGAAATATTAAATTTAATCCATTGTAAAGACCAGCTTTCGATGGATATTGAATGAAAACACTGATATAAAATTGCTTCATACTTTATTAAAAATATTTTTAAAAGTCACACTTAGATCTGCTTAATATTATCTGTTAACTACAAAATCAATATCTGTAGTGATCGGGCTTGAATGGTCCTTGTGCAGATATACCCAAATATTCTGCTTGATCAGCTGATAAGGTAGTCAGTTTAACTCCCAAGTGTTTCAAATGCAGTCTTGCTACTTCTTCGTCGAGGTGTTTGGGTAACATATGAACTCCCAGTGAATATGCTCCTGGCTTTGTCCACAATTCGATTTGTGCCAAGACTTGGTTGGTGAAGGAATTTGACATTACGAACGAAGAGTGACCTGTGGCACAACCTGTAATAAATTTGAGAAATAAATACATAAACACTATCAATATATAGGTACACTTTATGCAGTGTTGCCACATTTAAAAATTTTTCCCTATTATTAAAAAAAAATGTGAAAGATTAGATCAAAATTAAGGTTAAGATTGTTTATTTTAAAATGCAGAGATGAAGCAAAAACCAGAAAAAAATATTACAATATTGCAAAGAAATTTACGAAACAATAAGCAAAACAACCTGTTACAACTGTATATTATAGAAGAGATTATTTGTGGATAAATTTTAGCTATAGATACAAATACTAAACAGCCAAATTAACAAAAGGGTATAAGTATAAAGGGTATAACCAAAATTCCGAAAAATATAATTCAATTATAAAGGAACAACAGAAAATCAAAAATGTCTACCAGAAAAGAGTACACAACGATGAAATAACACAAATTCTCGACACTGTTTCAAAAATAATATTTAATATATAAATAATTTATAATTAAAGGAAATCAATTCTAAAAATAACAGTGCGACGTTGCCTATTCGACATTTTACCTAGTTTTTCATAAAAATAAAGAAAATGACAGATTTAAACAAAATTATTATTTTTGCGTTAAAAATACAGAAATTAGCTAAATAGACAATAGAAAATAGGATACACCATGGTAAAAATATCTGCTACTGAAGAATTTCACAGGGTAAGTGTATAAAATAGAACATAAATATCCTCCTACATACATAGATAAAGGAAATAAATTTGGAACAGCTCCAAACTTCTAAAAATAATAATGCGGTGTTGTCAATTCGACATTTTCCCTATTTCTTTATAAAAATGGAGAAAGCATTAAATTTACACAAATTAATAATTTTCCATTAAATCCAAGGATTTTGAAAAATTTTCCCCATTTTAGAGGCTTTAAAATATACCAAAAAAAAAAAAGATAATTGCGCTAAGCACAATTTTTTATCACATGAACTTAAAAAAGATGAACAAAAATGGAGTTCTGGATTGAGGCATTCTGCATCTTAACGGGGAGAACGGCCCTTTGAGATAAAATTAATAATTTTGCATTAAAAATACAGAAATTATGAGAAATTTGGGAAAAGTGTCAGCATATAGATAAAATATACTTTAGTAACCGATATATACAACAGAAAAGGGAAACACCAAGGAAAATGTCTGCCAAAGAAGAATTTTAGAAAATAACGTTAAAAACTGAATAAATAGGACTTAAATTTCTTAACACACCCTACCGTCTTAAAATAAGATTAAATAAATAATAATTGATAGTTAAATGAAATCAACTTGTGAAACGTTTCGAACTGCTAAAAACGATAGTACGGCGTTGCCAAATCGACATTTTTCGTAGTTCTTCATAAAAAATACAGAAAAAAAAAAAAGCAATTTACAAAAAATATTAATACGTTTGTATTAACAATACACAAAATTACAATACAGACTATAGAAAACTGTTCAGAACGAGGGCTAAATGTGTATAACAAGAGAATTTTAGAGAATAATGGTAAAAACTAATAAAATAGCACTTACATACCCTACACGCATTCTCCAAAATAGATTAAATAATTATAATTAAATAAAATCAATACGTGAAACGTTTCGAACTTCTAAAAGCGACAATGCGGCGTTGCCAAATCGACAATTTTCGTAGTTCTTCATAAAAATACACAAAAAACAAGTTGACAAAAAAATAATACCTATGCATTAAAATTACACAAAATTACAAAAGACACTATCGAAAATTGGACAGAACGAGGACAAAATATGTATAACAGGAGAATTTTACAGAATAAGGGTAAAACTAATAAAATAGCACATAAATCTCCTTCAACAGTCGTAAAAATAAGAATAAATGATCAGATAATTTTGATACTTAAAGGACATCGATTTGTGTAACATTCTAAACTTTCAAAAATTACGGTGCGGCGTTGCCAATTCCACGTTTCCTAGATCTTTACAAAGTAAAAAAAAACAGATTTACGAAAAACGTTTTCACATATAACACCATATAGTAAAAATTTACTCGCCTAAATTGACCAATCGACCTTCAGCCAAGACAATCACGTGGTTACCGGTGGACAGGAGATAACGGTCAACTTGTGGCTTGATAGTGACTTTTTCCTTGGCGTTCTTTTCTAACCATTCGACGTCGATTTCGCAGTCGAAATGTCCAATATTACACACTATACTGTCGTCTCTCATGTTGAGGAAATGTTCACCTCGTACGATGTCTTTACAGCCAGTTGTCGTGACGTAGATTTGGGCTTCTTTGGAGGCTTCTTCCATCGTTGTGACTTCATAACCTATAAAACAATATCATTCGATTAAATTTATTAAATCGATTTAACAATTTAAGTAATTTATTCGCAAAATATCTTTACCTTCCATAGCTGCTTGTAAGGCATTGATAGGATCAATTTCTGTGATCAATACTCGTCCACCAAATGCTCTTAAAGATTGTGCACAGCCTTTGCCTACATCTCCGTATCCAGCTACGACACAGACCTTACCAGCGAGCATAACATCTGTTGCTCTTTTGATTCCATCGATGAGAGATTCCCTACAGCCGTACAGATTGTCGAATTTACTCTGAAAGCATTGTGATATTTTATAACAAAAAGAAGCTTCTATGTCAATATATCTTCTCAAAAATTAATTAGTGTAACAATTTGGAACTTATATTTTGGAAAATAGAATAAAATCGCTCACCTTTGTGACCGAATCGTTTACGTTTATTGCCGGAACCTTCAATGTACCTTCCTTGTACATTTTGTACAAGTTATGAACTCCCGTGGTGGTTTCTTCGCTGATTCCCTTACATCCTGTTAAATATTGTGGGTATTTAGTATGTACCAAGTTGGTCAGATCACCTCCGTCGTCGAGAATCATGTTGAATGGTTTTCCGTCTGAGAAAACTAAGGTCTGTTCGATACACCAAAGGTATTCTTCGTCTGTTTCTCCTCTCCACGCGTACACTGGAATTCCTCTTTTGGCGATAGCTGCGGCGGCGTGATCTTGAGTACTGAAGATGTTGCAACTGGACCATTGTACCTGTAATCACAAGTTAGGAGCTTTATAAACACTATAACTAATCTGCAGATATTGTAACGTCATAAGTTATTTTCCGATATTTCTCACTATTTTTCTATTCTTTTATGTGGTTTTTGTTTATTTACTTTGTCGTACCATTATTTGAAAGTAAAACAAAACAAATTCTTTTATTTATGGATAAGCTAAATCGATCTGTACAACTCAGTGTAAATTTTCCTCCACAGACAATCCAACCACTTACCATTGACTTAACCTTCACAAAATACCCCAAATCAACTACAAATCCAATTTTCATTAAACACTTGTACTCCGAAGTTATATCTCATTATCCTAATTATCTCCAAATTTTCAGTGATGCCTCTAAAGCTCATGGCGGACATGCTGCTGCATACTACTCTCACACTATATCCATACCTACAAACTGCTGCATCCTCACAGGCGACACCACAGCCATTTTGGAAGCCTTAATTTTCTTCAAAACGCGTAGTGAGAAATAAATGTGTCATCATCACTGACTCATTAAATGCTCTATTAAGTGTAAAACACATATACCCTACAAATCCAATATTTCGGGCTATAAAAAATAGCTGGAAATGAGAAAGTGGACAGCCTAGCAAACACAAGTCAAATAAACTCAAAAAAACCTAATTAAAGACCACATATATGAACAAATGCAAGACTACTGAAAGATCAGGACCCAAACTATATGAGATTTATCACCTTGTGAAGACCATCTTGAATAACCCATCCAAGGAATCTTCTCCAACCTGCAGAAAGATGTTTCTCTCCCATTGACGGTGAAGCATATATCTGATTGACTGCCAGTACCGACGCAGAAACAAGAAGAAAATATGGAATCTCTGATGACATCAAAACCACATTAACCATAAAACTGACCATGTAATAAAATTATTTAAAAGATTTACGTTTATATACATCTATTTAATGTAAATAAAATGAATTCCTGTGTACGTTACTCCACTAATAACCCTGCGTGGTTGATGTGGATTAGTTTTTTTTTCTAAAAAAAAATTCTTTTATTTAATAGTTTCCATATGTTTTTTGTTCCGTATGTCTTAGACGCACACTCATACATTTCTGTGCAGACGATACCATGGCTGTAAATTATGCATTGACCACCTCAATTAGATCAGAATGACTGCACTGGATATGAACCTCTAAAGAGGTTGAAAGAGTCGTCGTATGACAACTGCGGTTCTTAAAATCCTCTAAACATTTGGGCATTTCCTCATAAAATATTATTAGCCGCTTCACAAAACTATCTAAAACATTATATACTTCCTTAAACCTATAAAAGATTCTCGACATCCATACAAGAGCCTTAAACAATTCCAGGTTACGTTAAACTTGGACAGAGCTCATAAAATAATTCCAGATAATACTAAAACTTTCTTGTACGGGTTCCTGAGCCTTCAAGAGGCCCTTGAAATATTACTAAATGTATTCTAAATTCCTTCAAAGCCACCTGCAATCATATAGGATTTTCTAAATTTTTCCAAATATACCTCCAAGTATATAGACTTTTTAAAGCTCTCTATATGACTCTTAAATAGTCCAGGATACCCTAAACTTCTACAGGGACAAAAAAGTAATACTAGGGTTTTTCTGTACGAGCTCTGAAGTCTTCTAATAGTCCCTACAATATTCAATGTATTTAAAACGTTCTAGTACTTCTTACATATTATTAGTCGTACTGAATTCCTTCAGATAATGCAGTTCAAGTATTCCAGATGCCTCTTACATTAATAACTCTTCGAAATTCCTTTAAGGCTACCTGCAACCATACAGTTTTTTGTAAAGCTCTCCATAGGACTGTCTAATAGTCCGAAATTGTCGTAAAACATTGCTTTTATGTAGGCTTTTCTAAAGTTCTCCAAATATACCCATAAAAACCATACTTATAGACTTTTAAAGTTCTTCATAGATCTCTGGAACATTCCAGAACCGTCCTAAAACATTCCAGGATACCCAAAACTTCTATAGGGATCATCAAATAATACAAAAGCTCTCCTCTACGAGCTCTGAAGTCTTCTAAAACCCGATAAAATATTACTGAATCCATTTAGACTCTTCCAGATGCTCCTTAGTTATTAAAATACCTACTGAGTTTCTTTAGAGCTACTTAAAACATTCTAAATGTATCTAAAGTTCTCCAGAGTAATATAAAACAGGCCAGAACCGACCTAAAATATTCAAGGATACCAGAAACCTTCACAGGAACCGTAAAACATTAAAAAATATTTCGAAAAATATCCTTTACAGGCTTAGAAGTCTACTAGAGGCTCCTAAAATATTACTGAATCCAGTTGAACCTCCCCAGATACCTCTTAAATATTAACAACTCTTCGAAATTCCTTGAAAGCTACCTGCTACCATATAGATTTTTTAAACCTCTACATAGGACTGTCAAATAGTCTAAAACTACATTAAAACATTGCTTCTATGTATGCTAGAAAGTAAAAAATTCACACCATCAAATAATACAAAACCTTTCCTCTACAGACTCTGAAGTCTTCTAAAACCTCCTAAAATATTAGTGAATGCCTTTAAACCCTTCCAGGTAACACCTGGAAGGGTTTAAAGCATTCACCTGTAAGGCATTCACTTTAAAAGGTTTAAAGGCATTCACTTTTCGCAGACCTTAATTATTAAAAGTCCTACTGAATTCCTTCGGAGCTACTTAAAACATTCTAAATGTATCTAAAGTTCTCCAGAGCACTGTAAAACTGGCCAGAATCGACATAAAGCATTCCATGATACCTGAAACCTATACAGGGACCATCAAATATTACAAAAGAATCCTAAAAACTTCCTCTATGGACTACGAAGTCAACTAGAGGCTTCTAAAATATTACTGAGTGCAGTTAAAGACCTCCAGATGCCTCTTTAATATGAATAACTCTTCGAAATTGTTTCAAGCCTACTTGCAAGCATATAGATATTTTAAGTTCTCCGCAGGACTGTAAAATAGTCCAGAACCATCTTAAAACAATGCAGGGTATACAATACTTATATATACTGGGCCAAAAATATTAAAGAGAATCCTAGTGCTTTCTTATATGAGCTCCATAGTCTTCTAGAACACTCTGAAATATTACCGAATGCATTTAAAGCCATCCAGATGTCCTTTACATAATAATAACTCGTTCTAAATTTGTTCAAAGCTACCTGTAACGTTCTAGGCTTTTCTAAAGTTCTTCTAAATGTAAAACATTACAAGTTAATCCTAAAATTCTCCTCTACGGCCTCTATAGCAAAGGTATTGATTGATAAATCTATTATTTAAGTTACGTTAAGAGAGCAAATTTTCACATCGGATTATTAAATAATTATTCACGATATGTTTACTTACATAACAGTAAATATAAAAATACTCTCCCCTTATCAACAATTATGCAATACGTTCACACATTTATATTTTTATATTGCTATTTCGTAAACGAGTATTGACTAATTTTAAATATATTAAAAGATACAAAGCAACAAATGACAAGTATACTTTTGAAGTTGATAGCAATCGTGTTTGGCGGGGTCAAGAGTTTATCTGGCGAGTTTTAAAGACGTATTTTTCAAGCTACGTCACGTTAACAACTCCAGTTTCGAATAATAAAAAAACATCTTACACTCTACATCGTAGGATTTCCCTTTTTTGTTGTTTTTTTTTTCAATATGCATTTTTTTTAAGCTTCGGTTTTGCTTATAAAAAATGCAGGTTATAGATTATGTGGCTTTACTTCTTAGTAATCAAGTAAAAACATGACAATTTGGATTTAATTAATGTTATGCATTTAATAATTTATTGTCGTTATTAAGTTATTTACTAGGATTATTTGTAACATGTGAAAAGGAATGGTTTCTCTCTGTTTTCTCTCAGTGGGGAGTTGAGACTAAAGAATGTTTTGATAAACACATCTCCTACATCATTAATTTTTAATTATTTAAACGAGTTATAGGTAAAATGGGAAAATATATACAAATATATAACTTTTTCTACGGTTCAAGGCAATCTTCTATTCAATAAAATAAAAAAAAACATATTAATAACAGCTCAATCGCTAAATCGACTGCATTTTCGTTAATATGAGAATAATTCATATCGTATTTCCTTTTTCTATACAATTTAGTTATTTAAAATATGTGAATTTAGTGACGTAATTTGTGTGATAATTACCAAGAATATTTATATTTGATTTAAGTGGATCAGTACATTTATTTTCGCTGTGTATAAAAGATAAGAAACATAAATTCCACGAAGATTTCTGTACGGATTTTAGATGAAAAATAATAAGACAGTTGCTACTAAAAATGCACTACGCATATGGCTCCTAAAATTATTCGTCGATATAATAAATAACGGAGTAGTACCAGCGGAAATGAAAGGAAACTCTCCTGCTACCATTACTTAAAAAGGGAGACTCGAGAAATCATTAACATTAAAAATGTTAACGGCAGTCATAAAAGACAAAATCGAGGAAAAAGCGAACATGGCAGATGAACAACAAGGCTTCCGGAAGAACCGCAGCACAATAGACGCAGTTTTTATTATCAGACAAATAATTATTCTTCTTCTTATAGTGCCTATCCGTTACGGATTTTGGACACTAAAGGTCAATTCAGACACATCATCCCGTCATAGTCTCGGCGCCGAACCGGTCCTGTTTGGTCACAGAACTATCAACTATCTGACAGCTGGGACACTGTTTGTCAACTGATGAGTGTGAATGCCGGCAACATATTTGTACTAAAGAATATTTTGTATGACGGATTGTTCGGTTCGGCGCAATCACTGTGACCTTTACATGGCTATTCTGACTTTGTTGGCTGCTGACCTGAAAAGTCCGCTAGTGGTTAAGTTAAACCATTTTCGCGCAGCCATTATATAAATTTATGCAAACAAAAATTTACTCTACTCTACCCAAGAATATTATTTATCATAACAAAATTTTCCTTTACTAAAAATATTTTGTTTTTTGTAGTTTTCTCACAACGTAATATCAACACGGCGTTCAATGACGGCGGTGTTTGTTTATTGAACGGTTTCGTTAATATTAGCATTAATTGTTTTTGACACTAATTTAAATTTGATACTAATTTTCGAGGGCCTTGACAAAATTCGCACTGGATGCATTTTTAAACACAATTGAATTGAGTTTACTTCCAATATTTATCAATTAAACGAATTATTTTTATTTCCAACATAAACCACATATTTATAACCGCAATTGCACAGAAAAGTTGAGAAAGTTTAATAATTATTGGAAATAACAATCATTATAAAACAAATATTCCAATCAAGTCATTTTAGTTCAATCAACAAGCAATTTAAAACTCCGGGATTTATTTGATACAATTGTATGATGAAATTGTATGTGACCTACACATAAGATATCTTGTGGTATTTTGTAATCAACAAGAGATTAATATAATATTGGTAAATCTAAGAAAAATCCAAAAACGCGAATGAAAACTTATTAATGACATATAAAAATATGTTTTTATTCATTTGATTTTGAAATAGTCATTTCTAATGTTGAAAAACATATTCTTTTGCTCTAAAAATCTATGAAACGTTCTGATTACTATATTTGTATTGAATATTGGCCAATTTTTGATTGCTTCACTACGATTTTTTATCCGCTATCAATTCTCCTTCTATATACACTTCTCCAAGATATTAACGCACTACTTCAATAGATCAATTTTATTTGTAAACAGGCATAGAATAAAAAATAAAAATTCACCAGATTTATTCTACATTTTATTGGTAATTATAACAATTTGTCTAATCATCAGAAATGGTTCAAGTAGGTACTGGAGAAAAAAAAAATAAAACGAAAAATTCTAAAGAAAATAATGATAAGAAAAGTAAACTAAAATATGAAAAAAGTCTTAATAACGAGTGTTTCCACCTCTACTACGTATAAACAGCCTCACATTGCTCATATCGTTGGCACATACTTAAAATTAATTGCCGTATTTCCATTTTGGTCTAGTTCTCTCTCCAAATCTGGATCAGCCTCTTTCAGACTTCCTGTAAATTGTTTCGTTGGATCGGTGTTGCTCTTAATCGCCTACCAAGGATATCCCAGAGATTTTCAATCGGATTAAATCCGGACTATGTGCTGGCCATTCCACAGTGTTAATTTCTACCTCTTCTAGATAATTTCTGACGATCTATGCAGCGTGAGGTCTGGCATTATCCTGCATTATACCACCCCACACCATAACGGATCATCCACAAAAAAATGTGGTGTGTGAGAAGTTACACTCAGCATATCGTTCGTTGGGTCGTCGCAACACAGGAACACGTCTTTCGTTATTGTACAAACAAAATCGGGATTCATCAGTAAATGGCACTCGTTCCTAGTCAGCCTCTAACCAATTAACATGTTCTGTGGTAAAATGTAGTCTCCCCCTTCGATGCTCTGCAGTTAATAGAGGACCTCGGGCGGCAATCCTAGGTGTTAATTTGTATTCACCAAGTCGCTGGTAAACAGTTTCAGTACTAATTTGTATAGTATGCACGTCTCGAAGCTGAATCTTTAGACTTTGATGTGTTACAAAATGTTGTTGAAGAGCAGAAATTCTTAAAAATCGATCTTGAATAGGGGTAGTTACTCGGGTTCGTCCTTGCCCTGGTCTGTGAGTATGATCCCCTGTTTCGAGGAATCATTCTATCACCCGTGAGACAGATCTGTGGAACACATTAAACCGACGACCAATTCTTCGGTAACTCGAACCTTCTTCTGACAGTATCATTGCTTGGCACATTCATTTCGAGTTAAATTATGTGATTGGCGCTCCATAACAAACGCAATTAACAATTAAACTGTAGCCGAATAAAATTCTGAACACATGGAAATGTATATTTATAGAATTAGTACATTTTTTGCTTCTTTTTGGTTTGATTCAAAAAAAACTATAGCGATAAAACACAGTCAATAAATATAGAGTATGCGAATAGCACATACAAGGGGCTTGCAAAATATAACATTACAATGAAAATTTTTATTAACGCTAATAAAGTGGTGTGTTAATTTCTTGGAGAAATGTATTATGTTCATTGAATGACCTTCTTTGATTACTACTTTATTAAAAGTATAACTAAAATCTTTAATGGTAGATTAAATTTAAATTTGGCAATAAGCTAAAACTTATGACACTGTGGGAAAGGATTTTAAATATAATCGGGTGCTGTATAATTAAAAATGAATAGACATTTCTAGTCTCATTACGATAAACCAAAACGTAGACTTTTTATGTACTTTAATAATACATAGTTTATATTTTTAACTTTGAGGTCGACAATTAAAGACAAATAGATACTATAAAGTAATATGACACTTAAAAAAATTTTATTACTGTTACTATGCACACACGCTATTAAAAAAGGTAAAGAATTAATAATTGTACTAAATTTTGCAAAACTAATTCACGGGAACACTGTTTTCAATCTTTTCGATACCAATAAAACCAAATCAATTACATACCTCTGCTCCAAGATCTGCAAGGGTTTCAATTAATACTGCTGTTTGTACAGTCATGTGAAGACATCCAGCTATTTTGGCTCCTTTTAAAAATTTTGTTGTCCTGTGTATTTTCTGCGTAGACTCATCAAGCCCGGCATTTCATTTTCGGCTAAAGTGATTTCTTTGCGGCCCCATTCGGCCAAGCTCATGTCGGCTAGAAAAAAACAAAGAAGAAATAATAACAAAAATAATATGTGTGTGTTAAATACCAACAATACGAGTAAAGCAATGTTTTTTTTTGGTAGTTTTAAATTTTAAATTTTGAAAAAACTAACCTCAAAATTCACGTGTTCACATTAAAATATATACTTACCAACTTTGTATGATTGTTTAGCCATGGTAAATTATTTCTAAAGGACTGCTAAAATTTTACTTAACTTGTTCCTAAATGTCTTCACAAAAACTGAAAACAAGGACAATCCTCGCTTACCGCGTACCCAACAGAAAAGAGATTTTAAAAACTTGGAGAGGGAAGAAGAGGTAAATTCTATTGTCGTCAGCTGCCATTATCAGTTACAATATTGCCAGATCCCGATTTTAAAAATTACATGAACACACAAATAATATGTTTACAAGATCAGTTTTATCATATATTTACGTTAGAACATATTTGAATTATGAATTTTAACAAGATAATTGTGTCTTTATTTTATATCATTTATTTTGTTTAGAAATATTTTCTTAGAACTCTTTCTGCGATAATAAAAAAAATTGTGACTTCGACAAAATCCACATTGTGGCAACGTTCAGGTATCCTATTCAATGACTTTGACATTAAAATGTCATTCAAAGAGTTGTCTAAATGAAAATAAAAAACATATGATTGCTCAGACATTGCAGTAATTGGTGTATATTTAGTATTTTGAATTAATGGTAATGGAACACATTTATTAAACACTAATCAAAACAGATACGTAATGGTGTTATAATGAGCTTTATAATTAATGCCTTTAAAAATTTCTTACATACCATGTTGCAATTATTATCTTTTGGTAAAAAAACTATAACAAATAGTTTGAGTGTGTATGTAAAAACTATTGGTGGCAACACTTTAACTGTAGACCTAGATCCTACGTGGGATATTAAAAATGTTAAGGAAATAGTGGCGCCCCAACTTGGATTAGAACCAGATGAAGTAAAGATAATTTTTGCTGGAAAGGAATTGGGAGATGAAATTAAAATTGAGGTACATTTTATACACAATTCCATATATTTTCTTTACCCTTTCGGTAAATTTCGAATGTAAAGTTAATACACAAAAATACAGTGACAGTTCTTTTAGGAATGTGATTTAGGTCAGAAAAGTATTCTCCATGCTGTAAAAGTTAGGGGAAAAGGAATAAGATTCTTCGACCTACAAATAGTAGTGTAATAGAGGAAAATGAGGACCCAAGTAGCAAGCCATTGAGTGAGGTTTTAGATAATAGTATGTTTTCTCATGAAGACAGCAATTCTTTTAATAGTACAACTGAAAGGCAGAGAAGTCAATCAGAAAGTGGTGAGGATACTGTTGTAGTTGTGGTCTTTCAATATGTATTAAATTGTTAAATATTTTTGTATTACAGGTTTAAGTAAGTCAAAGGTACATTTCTATGTATTCTGTCCAACTTGTAAGGCAATGAAGTCAGGAAAAATAAGAGTAAGGTGCCATTTTTGTAAAAGTGGAGCATTCACTGTACATGCCGATCCACAAAACTGGAATGATGTTCTAAAACCCAAACAAATTACAGGAACATGTGAAAATAGTCCAGAATTGTGTTCTGACGTAAGTATACATAACTATAACCTCTTTTCCTTTAAGAAACAATTGTTTTTTGCTATAATTCAGTGTCTAAATCTAAACTAAAGAATATAATTTTATTAGATATTAAAAAACGTAGAACCTACCTTCGCTGAGTTTTACTTCAAGTGTTCTGAACATACCTCCTTGGGGGAACAAGATGGAGCAGTACCGCTAGATCTGATAAGGCCAAATTTAAGGGATATTCCCTGTTTAGCTTGTGCTGACGTTAGGTAAATGTTTTTTTAAAGACTTTTATGTACTTCTCTACCTAAAAACTTAACATAACTACTACATTTCAGTAATTTGGTGCACCGAGATAACACACAGCCTAGTAAGGCTGTTTTATCGGTGCACCAAAATTTTTTCTCTGTTATTTACCGACGAAATGTCTCGAAATTTGGACATGTTACTACGAAATTATGTTGCCTTTAAACTGATGGTTTTACTTTTTTTATTTTTTGAATTTTCTGTTGAAAAATTGGATTATACTGTTTAACGTTCTATTATAACCAAACTTTTCACGCCCATCAGTTGAAAGAGTTTTTTTTTCTGTAATCGTTGATTCTTTTTTCACCTTTCTGTGTCCAGTAATAATCGAGAAAAGCGTATTCAAACTTTGAAGAAAATTGCTAAAAAAATACTGAAATCTAATAGTGAAACGTGTTCCTCATCATTGTCGTTGAGCTTGATCGTTATCGCATTAGTGACGTCAAATCTCATGAGCGTACGGTACGGTCTTATTTTTATTTCTCTATGGGTACGGTCAGTTAGTTCGCTTGAATTTAGAATCCATTTTAGTTCTTTCGTTCTTGTATTTTCTTTATCAACTTGCTTAGTTTTTACAGTTTACAGTATTCTTATTTATTTTGAAAACATTGAAATTATTTAGTTTACGTGTATGTTAAGTAATATATTATTAGTTTAGTGGTATAAGTTAAAAGTTCTTTAGTTTACGCGTATTTTTAAGTATTACATTAGGTTAGTGATATAAGTTATAGAGACAAGATAAAAATGAGTCCCAGTAAACGTCCTATGTCAAGGAAAAGGAGAGCAATTGCACTGCTTTAGTATTTATTATTTATATTACAACCGTTTTTAAAAGCTTTTATTTAACTTATATACATAAAGAAAAAATGGACGGATTGATAAGTGCATTGACTTTTAAATGTCAAATGTGGAATATTGAAAAAGGAGATAGCAACATAGGATTCTGGTAACAATTCACTGAACTTGAATGGTTCTGGTTATTCAGACATACAGCAGCAGCACGCTGCATTAAATATACCTGTGATTTCCTACAGGCAGTATGCAAAACATACGGAAACAGTTGCAGATATCATCGACCAAACACTTTGCGATTCCTTAGAAGAGGCTGGACGGGAGGAATTAGCTTTAGCCAAAGAAATTGGTGAAGTAGATTCCGACGGAAATGGGTTAATAACCGTTATAGCTGATGGTGCTTGGTCAAAAAGATCGTATATAAGTAAACTACGATGCTTCTTCAGGTGTAGTACCTGACGTTGTAAAATTTATTAAATTAGTATGCCTTTGATGGATAGGACATGTAATTAGGCGAGATGAAGATGAAACGATCAGAAACATTTTCGACCGAAGAGGACCAGTGGGAAGACGATCCAGAGGAAGACCAAAACTTAGGTATCAAGATAACATAGAGGATGATCTAAAATCCATCGGAGTTTAAAGCATGGAGAAAGTTGCCAGAGGCAGGGGCGAATGGAAGATTGCTTTGAAGAAGCCTTTGGCTCATGACGAGCTGTAATGCCACTGATATGATGAAATAACTATCCACGATTTTGTGTTTTATTCATCAATTGGATACTTTTCTTATGTAACTGCAACCTATAAATATATTAAAATAATGTATATTCCATTCAGAGAACATTTGCTCTCGCAGTGCGTCGCCTCGAAATACTTGCCAGATAAATACATTTACTATTATGATGGTTTCGCAGGTACCAATTTTTTATAGATAAATAAAAATATATTTTTTGTTTAATTTTTACTACGCTAATATCAGTTTTCTTTAACAAATATTAACGAAATATTAATTAATATATTAATATTAATATAACAAAATTTAAATTTATTATAAATAAACACCATGGTGTTTTTTGCAGTCACGTTTCACAAATTTTTATTTAATACTATGTTTAGCTAGACATATAAATTAAAAATGTGATTAATTCTTTTTAAAACATTATCTACGATAATTAATCTAAAAAAAAGTATTCCGACAAAAACTAATTTGAATGGAGAATAATGCATTTATTTTGAACAACCCGTGGGCCGGCGCCACTGAATAAATATCCAAACTATTAGGAAGTCACGTAGGGTCTGACATAGCAGTGTAGAAAAGTAAGTGATACGCCCACTTCAAATCGCAGTATGCTATAACTGCGAAAACAGCCTTAATTATAAGTATAAAAATTTTCAATAGGTAAATGCGATATGTACATATTTATCCAGAAGTTAGAAGACTACTGTCTTTTCTATCTTTATGTCGATATCTGTTTTTTGTGAGTCTTATATTTTTAAAGTATTTTCTTTTTCTTTTCTTCCTGAGACAGATTATTTATTATCTTATAAGTATCTTAATGGAGCACATTTTGAACACTTGATAAAGTAACCATATGGCCAAGTATGTTAAAATGTAAACAAATCAATTGTTACGTTTTAATGTAGTTGAAAATAGTTAATATTAAAAAAATTATTGATCAATTAGGCGTTGCCAGACTTCTATTTTGTGTATTTAAGACCTTCCAGACTACATAAAATTATAAGTATTACATAGGTTGAACTCCTATTGAATAGGAGATTCCAATAATGACTGAATATACAGAGTGATGAATTTAAAAAAACCAAAGTTACTAATAATATAAAAAAAACGAACAAATCTGGCAACATTGCAAATATCAAATATAGAATCCGTATCCCAAATTAGGTACCTCAAATGTTGTACAATTGTGACTAGCAGTTTACGAGATAATTGGCCGTTTCCAGACTTTTGGGCCACTTTGTATATTAAACTATATATTCCTAAAATTCATTGTTCCTTTATCAGTCTTTTGTTATTAAACTTTCTTTTAAGTGTGTTAACACTTTTGTATATTTGCACCATATATGTAATATTAAGAATATGTGTAGTATCTAAGTTTTAATATTTGTTTTTATTCTTCTACCAAATTTAACAAATTATTTTTGGTTGCATAAAAGTTAAGTGGCGTTTTTACTGGCATCTAATATAGAACGGGCTTGAATAAGTACTCATTAATATCTTCAAGGAATTTAATAAATTTAATTACACAATTAGTGTCAAAATAAACACTGAATATCAGGTCCTAATGATAGAGAGGTGATACAGTGATGTAATTTTCATTCAATAAATTTTTTATAAATACAAATAAACTAAATTGAGTTTGATGACAATAATTACTTCTCAAAGTATCTTTAATCTCCTTTTTTAGGATGTTTTTAAAACTTTTTCATATAATCAGACTTTTTTATGTTCCAGCGATCCTGTTCTTGTCTTTCCTTGTCAAGAAAAACATGTTACCTGCCTGGACTGTTTTCGCCAATACTGCGTGACCAGATTAATGGAGAGACAGTTCTGGCAACATCCAGAGCTGGGATACACGTTAGCTTGTCCAGCGGGTTGCCCAGATTCCTTTATAAAAGAAGTCCACCATTTTAGACTGCTCACAGATGCTCAAGTAAGTATATATTATTTCTGTTTTAAAGTAAAATAGTAATTTTTCACGTAGTATAACCAATAGAGTTTTATAGTGTTGAATTGTATTCCAGTATGCGCAATATCAACGTTTCGGAACCGAAGAATTCGTCCTCAGATCCGGCGGAGTACTGTGCCCCCAACCGGGTTGTGGAATGGGAATTTTAGTCGATTCCGGTTGTAACAAAGTGGCTTGTATAAACGGTTGTGGTGTAAGTTATTTTTATTTTATTAACTGGCTTATTTCTACTCGATTTTTATGTTATAGTACGTATTTTGTCGGTTGTGTTTACAAGGCTATCATATCGGTGAGTGTCGACGTCCGATATGGATAGTTCCGCAGATGGCGAAGGATGTTTGTACAGCGTAGACCCAAGTCGAGCATCGGACGCAAGATGGGACGAAGCTTCGAGAGTTACTATTAAAGTTTCAACGAAACCTTGTCCTAAGTGTAGGACACCTACTGAAAGAGATGGTGAGTATAAACAACTCAGTAAAAGTCGCCAAATTAAATCATTAAAAGCTTTTTACTTTTTTTTTATCGTGTAATATTTTGATAAATTTCTGTAAGACACATTAACTATTTACTTACTAAGTTATGTGTAATGTGAGTTGCCTGACAAGCTTAATGTGACATCTGATTAAAATATCTCAGTTCTATCAGCGGAAGCATAGTTATAATTTCTTTCAGCGCTGAGGACATGACTTACGCAACGCATAAGCCTCATATTCCCATAGCAATGAACTAGACGCATATAAAAGCACATTTCAACGTAATTTTTTCGTACATGCTGTGCGGTAATATTTTACTTCTCTTCTCACAACACCAGGAGCGCTATATGATCCCCCTTCATCACCGCACTATACCTGGACCTGGAGCACAAACTACTGCTGCTTCTGATATATAAAAGTGTTTGGCTGGTGATGATTAACCTTAAATTTTTGAATTTTATAATATTAAAGATTTAATCCTACTAATGCACCATTTTTTTTGTAAAAAATAAAATATTTTCACTGTTAATACTTTTTAATAACCGAATCTTTTAGAACTACATACAAACAATATTGTGATTAAAATTTTTAATTCAAATGTGCGAAATTTACAAATAATATATAATAAAGTTTATGCAATCGCCATCTACAGGAGTATTTTGAAGTATACTAACCGTGACCATTTGTCCTATTGAGTTGTGTTTCTACAATATGTTTTGTATATCCGTAAACCATAGTCTCGGGAGCTTGCTACAATATTAATATTCATTTGTTTTGTTTTCATATCATAGTCAAATCATATTTTCTTCGGTTGCATTGACCTAATTCAATTTATATTTTAATGCACTGTGTGCTATAAATATTGTATATTTTGAGTGATTTCTTAATGCTGTTAAAAATGGTCGGTAAAAAACCCGAAATTATGTTTATAAAGAATATGTACTGCAAGGAAAAAGATATTTTTTTTGTCACGCATATTATGTAGTCTTATTGTTTTTTCGCTGGTATAGTATTTAATTATTGTATTTTTCCAGGCGGCTGTATGCATATGGTATGTACTAGAGCAGGTTGTGAGTTCCATTGGTGTTGGGTGTGCCAAACTGCGTGGACCAGAGATTGTATGGGCAGCCATTGGTTTGGTTAAGGCATCGAAAAATCTGTGATATTAAGAAAAAATAGAAAAATGTGTGTTGTTTTGATTGTTCAGTTGGGTTTCAATTAATAAAAATTGTTTGGTTACTATTTTGCTTTGTTTTAATCATCAGACCTTGAAATGTGGCTGAGCGTCATAAAGAAAGAGACGGCAGGAAGATATAATATAGGAATTTTTAAGATGTAATAAAGAATACGTGCCCTGGAAGATTGCATCCATTGAGGTAAGTGCATAACCGAAATGACGTAGATATGATCAATAAATCTTAAGATTTTTAGATCTTTTAAATCTTTTAAAATCTTAAAAATTTTAAATCTTAAGATCTTTAGATATGATCAATAAATCTTAAAATTGCTTATAAGCAACTCAACTCCAAACTTAAAAGAGAGCAGTCAAAAAAAGCAACAGTGGATGAACGATGAGACTTTTGAATTTGATGGAAAAAAGACGCAATTTTAAGAAACCAAAACGTCGAAATGTATAAAATAATTTAATAAAGAGATAAGGACTAAAATAAAGCTGCAAAAACATACTTCGAAAACAAATGTTTAGAAATTGGAAGAGTTACAGGGAAAACATGATTCATTTAATATGTATAAAAAAATAAAGAACTGACAGGTCAGAACAAAAAACAGGCAAATAACATAAAATAGACAGATGGAAAGAGTATATTGAGGAACTGTTTAGTGATGAAAGGCCTTAGCTTGAAATTAACGAAGTAGTTACAAGACCTGACATAAATTATGGGCGAAATTGAACAAACAATACGATTAGCAAAGACCCGAAAAGCACGGGACAGATGAAATACCGAGTGAAATAATAAAGCTCTTTCGAAAGTTCGGGTAAAAATATCTCTCCTTCATCTGTTTAAGTAAAATTTATGAAACTGGCTATTTACCAACGGATTGGCGGCTGTCGACTTTTGTGACGATATCTAAAAAGCAAATGCAAAAAAGATGTAGTGACTACCGAACCATCAGCTTGATGAGTCATGTTTTAAAGATATTTTTACGAATTTTGCACTCTAGATGATGTACCAAAAAATAGAACAACAACTTGGTGACACACAGTTTGGATTCCGCAATAACCTTGGAACAAGAGAAGCACTATTTAGTATTCAGGTTATGGTACAGAGAAGCAGAGATGTCGGACATCCAGTTTATATGTGTTTTATTGACTTTGAGAAGGCCTTTGATCGAGTAAAACATACTGAAATGATAGCCATTCTTCAGCAGGTAGGTATTGATGATAAAGACCTACGCATTATTAAACATCTTTACTGGTATCAACGTGCAAACAGTTCAAACAGGTTTGGCCGGGACACTTTCTGAAGAGCTTCAAATTCGAAGAGGAGTAGGCAGGGCTGCTTTTGTCCCCGCTACTATTTAACATCTATTCTGAGTTCGTTTTCAATAAAGCAGTGGATTATGTACAATGTGGTATAAAAATGAATGGCGTCCAATATTAATAATTTGAGATATGCGGATGACACAGTGTTATGAAACAATTACGAAGAACTTTAACATCTAATTAATAGGTTACCACAACGTGTGATGAATATGGCCTTAGTTAAACACCGCAAATACAAAGGTGATGGGAACAACTAGAGAGAACTAACAGTATCACTTACCCTGGGTTGTAATCTAAATGAGAACTGGGACATGAGCAAAGATAATTAGAATACGGATAGAGAAGGCCAGAGCTGCATTATTTAAGATGAAGAAACTGTTATGTGGAAACAATATTACTTTGTCTGAAAATTAGATTAGTGAGATGTTATGTGTATTGATTTTGACAGATATACTTCTCAAGAAACTTTGAAAATTGGGTGTATCGGAGAATCCTACGAATAGTTGGGTGGATAGAGTTCGTAACGAAGTTGTTTTGCATCGGATGCGGAAAAGTTACTGAAGTCGTCAAAACAGTTAAAAATCGCAAACTTGAATATTTTGGCCATGTTATGCGCCAACCCAGAGTGATATAATATACTCCATTTAATATACAAGACAAGGTAGACGGAAGAAGAGGGCTAGGTCGAAGAAGAAACGTCATGGCTTAGAAACCTGAGAGATTGGTTTAACAGATCCTCGGCATCTCTTTTCCGAGCTGAGTCAAACAAAATTACTATAGCCAATTTGATAGCTAATGCTCGATAATCGAGCTCGGCACATGAAGAAGAAGATGATCAATAAAAAAAATGGCATAAGCAAACTATTATCGTCGTGACTACAAGCTCCTGGAGGTAATTTATAAATATTTTTAATGAACAATTAGAACTATTTCAGTGTACCTATATTTATAATATCAATTTTTTTCGTTGTGTGAAACTTTCTAGAATTTTTATTTTGTTCTCACTCTGTATATCATATAAATTTACATCAAGTTGTTAATTAAGGGGACAGTCTCATGCGATAAAAAAAAGACGCATTTTAAAATTAAAGCAGAAAAAAAACTATAATATTTATGAAAAAATTCTTTTGAAGATGATTAAGTAGTCTTGATGTACATAATAAAAATTTTTAGTAGCAATTTTAACTTCATTGGTGTCTGTAGATGGCGTGTAGTAAATAAGTGGTTTTTGGTGGTAAAACACTTTGTGGGTCACCTGTAACAGAATATTCAAAAAATTCAAAATGGGTTGTATTCGTGAGACTCAATACTAGATGCTAAACCTTTAAAATATGCAAATTGTATTATTTTGAAGAGTATTATACGAATATTTTTTCAAAAAAAGTCGAAAAAGCGCTATATTTTTCGGTGTAGTTACCCATAATAAAAAGGGGGGGTGGTTTTTAAATATTTTAAAGGTTTAATCATCTAGTACTTTGTATATATAAAATATATTCGAAAAATTTTTGGTTTTTAAAATCGGTCAAGAAGGTTCGGAGAAAAGTGTCTGACAGTTTTGAAAATGTTAACTTTGGAGAAAAAAGCATTTAAAGTTTTTTTTACATAATTTTCGTGAATAAGGCTGATAAACTTTATACTCACGTTTAATCGGTCATTCCTGGTGAATATTGAGGACCGTCTTCATCCAAACAGTTGTTGGTAAATGGCTATGTAAAGCTGTAAATTTCAATACAACGTCGCGATGTTTTATGATTAATTCATTTGTTTGACTGGAGTCTCACTCTCAATTCCACGATGCATGGCAGTGTAAGTGTAAAAACGGAACAAACTTAGATCGCATGTCAATTAAGCGAAAAACGTACTTATTTATAAATGTAGATATAAAAATATTTTAACTAAAAAAATGGTTGTTTTATTGCCAAAACGGTTTGAAAAAAAAGTTGATTCTTAAAATTAAAAATAAAAAGGAATTTTAAAAATAAAATAATTATATTACAACTCTTTTTTTTTTAAATTTGAAATTATAAACAATATTGGATTAATAAATGTATTTTAAATATAAATTTTATAACTCAAATAATACCTAATGAACACAAACAAAATTGATGTTAATAAAACATTATTTAATATCTGCACAAAACCGAACTTTCCAGGAAAAATCGTTAGACGGAGCAACACTGTCGGCGTGCCATTATACGCTACTATATAAACCGTGCTGAGTGAGAAGTGGAACTATAAATCCAGTGGAACAAATAAATTAGTTATAAAACATCGCGACCGTTATAAAGAACACGGGGTAATTGCAACGCAGAGAATCTTAGTATTTGTAAAAAACTTTCTATGTCCCGGATTTAAAATTCCAAATGTGTATAGTAACTGCCAAACGTTATACTGATATTACATACTATATAAAAATGAATCACTAATACATACCCAACGTATATACAACATATTATTATATACAAGCAGCAAGAACAGCTGTCAGCCTCGCGCTCGCTGCGCGGAGAGAAACCGGTTTTCATACGTGCGTAGATGACGTTAATAAAAACTATAACTTTATATTATAGTGGGAATTTCTTTTTAAAATTTTATTAGGGAGTTTTTGAATGTAAATGGAAGCGATTTACAAAAAAAAATTAAAATTGATTTTTTGAAAGTTCCGCATGAGACTGTCCCCTTAAACACTAATAGCAATTTGCGTTTTAGAATTTCGAACGAGAAAGCATACTCTAAATGTTTATTTACTCAGCCAAATTGTATCGACTAAAAGCAATCACTGTTTTTCTTTTTAATTCGTTTTTGGATACTTAAAAAGTAGTAAACCAGCAAATCTTGCAGAGCTAAGGCAAAGATTTATCGATGAATTCATATTAATTTTTAGAGCAACATGGAGAGAAATGCAATAGACGCATTCGACCATCGTTTAGGAGGGTTTAGAGAGTTTGGAGTTTATTTATTTAACTACCTTTACCAAGTACTTATTATGTCCAAATTTAGTTGTACATAATTTGAATCAAAAAATTTTATTGAGATAGTATATATCTTATACCTTTCCATTGCCTATATACCTTTTCAATTCGAGTTCTTAAATTCTTTCATTCATTATTTGTATAATACTTAGTTTCTACTGTTATAAATAGAAATTAATTGAATCATGGACAAATGAAAGGAAAATGATTATTATCATAAAACGACATCTTTGGTGTTACATTACAAAACATTACGAATTAAATAATAATTGTAGTATATTATTTTTAATTTGAACCAAAAATAGACCCAAATAGATTCAATACAAACACAAATTATATTTTTCTTCGGTCCGCATCAAATTACCTTGCCTCATCTCTTTGTTTCTCTCCAATTGTTCGATATCTTTCTTCAAAGGTTCTTTAACCTCAGAAACAACATCGTGATCATTGAAATACACCACAAACACTTCATTCGTAAACACTACAGATTTGCTATTTTTAGGAAAATATTTGTACTTATACACACACTCTTCCTCCACAGTTTCAGTGTCTTCTACAGTTTCTTTAACTTCTTGTTTTGCCAAACAAGATTTACCTTCCATGGGCACGTAGAAAGGTGCTTGTTTGGGCAGTTCTGCGACATTTTTGCTCCGTTTCTTTGTTCTTCCCAAATCTTTACGAAGTTTTTGCCCTCTTTTACCGAAAGGATCCCATACTAGGTGTTTGCTAGATTTCGAAGTACCTGGAGATGATTTCGGTGATAG